GACATCGATTTGGACGAAGAGTCGGATCACTCGACGCATTCAGTCCACGGTTTGTATTGATTGTCATATGAATGTCAACTAAACGTCATGTGATTGTTGTCTACATTTGTCTTCCTCTCCACAGACTGTGATCTCCACAATGATTACGACAATCAAAAGCTCTTCAACTTCTTTGAGTCATATCTCAACAAATCGGACAAAACGGACGCCGAAGAAGAGCCCGATCTGGCGCTCAACGACCACTTCTCTCAGTTTATGGCCAACAGAGGGCCGAAGACACCGATGGCTAACCGATCCGTTCGGCGGATCTCGTGTTTCGCGGACATCGAGAACCAAAAGGGAGTCTTAAGACAGAGTTCGCCGAATCGTAAATGCGATCAATCGATGGACGAGTCGATGAGTGAAGTGACGCTTCCCTGGAATCTGAATGATATGAATGAGAAAGAAGTGATTGATTTGATTAACACATTAGAGGAAGAGCTCGACCACAAAGCGGCCGATTGTCCGCAATTGATGGCCACTTCTTTGAGAGAGAATTTTGATAAACAATTGCTTTTATTTAATGATGCGATCGAAGAGTTGGAAAAGACATTCAATAATAGTCTCCAAGAGATTGGCGTCAAATCAACTGAAGAAAGGGTTTCTTTCAATGAATTAATTGATAAAGAATTGAAAGAAATTAACTCCAAATCGAAATTATTAACAAAATTGAAGTTTGATTTGAATGTTATTCAAGAGATTTCGAAAAAATAATTATTTTTGATACCAAAAGTGATTTTTACATATTTTATCGTATTTTATATACTTTTATAAATGGATGCAGTTTTCGACTAAACTATTATTACTAAACAAATTACTTATATATTTGAGGTCACATTTAACCCTTTTTATCTGATCTATTAATAAATTGTTAATTAAAATTAATTATTATAGTAACCGTTAGCCCATTATCATCAACATTGACCACAATTTTATCACATACTACTATTAAAAGTGTTTATACAGTACTAACAATAAAATAATTCAATTAAACAAATGATTTATTTAAATGCATTTATAATTTTAATTTGATTTAGTAAAAACGATAAAATTACCTGGATTATTAAGTTTTTCCTAATTTTCATACAGTACTACAGTCAGAGCGCGTTATGCGTCAAGTTTTCATACCCTCACAGAGGTGTGACTGTACAAAATTTGTGCCAAACCGGCCTATAATCGGCCCCAAACTCATTGGCGTTACAAATGATGGCATGTATTAGAAATGTTTGATACTTTTTATGACAACGCATTCAATGCTTAAACTAATGCCTATATATAGACAGTAAAAGTACCAAAACGTGGCGATTATTACATCAACTTTTATTCAATCAATAAATTCAATATTTATTTATTTTTTGACAATTAACTCGTTATTACAGTCCAAATCATAATTGTGTGTAAATTAATAAACAAAATCAGTTAATTACTCTCTAATTGCTCTCTAATTGTGGTTTAAATTGAAAATAACATATTTTTTATTACATTTTGCGATATTTATGAACAAAAGTCAGTAACGGTTAAAACATTCCCCAAAATAATAGGGAATTTCTCACAATTTTCCATTCAATACAATACACCATAATTGAGAAGATATTGGGAATATATTGTGGGAATACACGCAGTAATCGTCAAACGCTTTGAGTATTAAATGTCCAGATTTGAGATTTGTGTGTAAAAGACAAAAGAAATCTCCATTTGTATCGATTGACAGCACTTCCAACACTTCCAGCGATGGCCTACTCTTCGTATTACGGGGGGAATCGACGCGACAACAACACTGAGTCGGGAATGTATGCCAGAGACGGGTCACCCCCTCGGCAGCAGTCATACGGTGGCCGGCGATCACCACAAATGGGTCGCATCCCGAAGATCAACCCGACCTCTTCGTTGGACGACTTGAGGTCAGAGTTCAATCGCATCACTGATGACACGCCGCTGAAGGTGGAGGACATGACGTGGGAGAAGATGGGCACTAAAGTGCAGGACATCCTCGAGAAGAGAACCAACGGTTTGACCATTGATTTGATTTATTGAATGTCACTTTTGATTGTCATCCTTCGCTATAAAGTGGTATTGATTTGTATTGATTAATATTCATAACAGATCCCAACAATGAGGGCGAACAGGTATTTCCGGCGCCGATGCGGAAGAGGAACAGAGATAAGAGAGATATGCCGGTAATTATATCACTTGTTATATCACTCATGAGTATATATAACTGATAATTATATTGTCTTTTTGTGTCCAACAGTTGATTATTAACGGAAACATAGGTTTGTTTTGCGTGAATGATTTGATTGATTGAATGATGATTTAATTTGAATGTTATTTGCGATGACATGCAGTTCCGCGCAAAGACGCGCTTCTCATTGATCTGGTATTGAACAACAAGTCCACTCTTGACGCGCAACTCACTCTCACTAAACACCCAGTCGTTGGTATGTCTTTGTGTGGTAAACACAAGTGTCACTCATTTAAACGCGCTTTTAAATAGGACTCGAGTATATGATTGAGTACATCGATCCCGAGGGTATGTCGCCCCGGATCTACTACTGCCGGCTCTGCAAACAGTTCAATACTTGCGCTTCGGTTATGGAACACGTGACCGGTTATAACCATCGCGTCCGCTTCATTGTAAGCCAATCCACGCACTCATTATCACTTGATTAGCCATTAATTTGATTGCATATATTAGGCGAACAAATACCCAAATCAGGCGAAGACTTATCTGTTGCCGGACGGCCGTCGAGCCAATCGTAACGTTGCGCTCATGCGTATGGCTCAGGGAAGAGCTCAAGAGTTGGAGCTCGTGTACGGCAGAGGAGACTTCGAGATCAGACACGAGAAGGTGACCATTCCTGATG